GAAGCCATTCTCAGCCCTTCTTAAATGTAACTTAAAACTTTTTAGTTTAATGTCCGTGTTGGCTTAGACCATGCCCACTTCTTATATATGCGACCAAGTAAATCAACTGCTTTCTAATTCTTTTGCTTTGCTCTGGCAAGTCGAACTTCATTGAACTAAGTTTGTCATCAGAGTGAAAAATAACGCATCGAGTGGAATTTCTTTCTATTTTCGCTGGATTTTGTGTGCTTCCTAAACGTAGTTTGGTTCGTTTTGTTTTTAACGAGGAACCCTTTTTATTTTTATTTTTCATTTTTGTGTGAGTGTGTGTTATTTTTATAAACGGAAGTGCGCAAATTGCTTTGCACCGGGTCGAAAAATTTATTTGTATGTCTTTTGGCTTTTATTTTTCTATAAGCAGCTTTTCCTGCCGCCGCCCGCCCGCCGGCGTGGCCGGCCCAGGGCCTGGCTTAGTTTGTTTTGCTGGCGTCTGCAAACATTTCCATGTGTGAAAGAACGAGTTTTGCCCTGGTCCTGCGACGTGTTTGTCCTGCTCCTGTCGCTGCGTCCTTAATGTCCGTGCCGGTCGCTCAATGTGTGTGTGTGTGGGGAGGGGACGGGGTCATGTGTGTGTGTGTGAATGTCTGGCTGATTTTTATTGACGCTTGAGCATGTGTTTATGCGCATGGGTCTGTCTGTGTGCGTGTGTGTGTTTGTGCGTGTGTGTGAGTAGGTCCCAGCGGTGTCTTTAAAGCGCTTCACTATAAAGAAGAAGAGTCAAAACGCTGGCGGGTGTAAACGCTTTATCTCGCTGAGCTTTTATAGGCTGCGCTGTGGCATGGCGACTGCCCGAGACTCAGCTTTAAGTAATTTCTGCATAATTCTGTGCATGCCCTCGGGTGCAATCGGGCCAAATGACGCCCGGCTGCAGCTAATAGAAAACAAGTGCTCGAGCAGCCCTCGGCCGTGCCTATATTATAGATGCGAGCGAATAGCCAAGAGAGCTACTTGGGCAGTTGAGACTGAAATATATACATATATAAATGTATGTGTGTATATATAAATTGAATATTTCATATTTCATTGGGAATTTACAAGAGATTTCGCAAGGGCCCCGAGCGCTTCTTTGATGCGCTCCATTAGCGCTCTTTAAATTGACACCCTTTAGGCAAGTGTTGCACACACACAGAGGAGTTTCACACCTCAATTGTTGCGCCTGTTGCACTTAATACGCAAGAGCGATAAAAAAAAGGATCGAGGAGAAAAAAGAACAGAGCAAACAGTGCCGAGAGAACAGCCGACGGCACTTGAGACTCACTTGACTGGCGAACGGGGCGTATGCGTTACATTTCGGTTTTCATTTGTGCGGCAATGCATTTAACGCCATGTGGCAGAAACAGTTGCACACTTGGCGGCTTGAAACTATAATAAAAATGCAAGAAAAGCAAAAAAAAAAGGAGGGGGAGAAATAAAATGCTGGAGGCACGCGATGCCATTTCCAATGGCTTGCCACATGCCCCAGCTGCAATTGCTGCTGCCGTTGCTGCCGTTGCTGCTGTCTGTTGCATTTCATTTACTTTATCATTTTTCACTTCTCGCTCGGCAAATTATAAGCAAATTATTGCGGCCCGCTGAATGTCAGTAATCATCATGAAGTCCCTTATAGCAGTCGCAGTCGCAGTCCAAGTCGCAGTCGCAGTTGCAGTTGGAGTTGGAGTTGGAGTTGGGGATGAAGTCGGCAGCATGTGGGTAGTCGCATTTCCGGCGGGTGTTGCGCTCATTTTTGTTTTTATTGCATTTCCCTGTAATTTGTGTCATATTGTTGCCCGTTGGCCGAGCAAATTAAAAATGAAAGCGACAGCAACAACAACAAAAACAGCAACAACTGCAGCAGCAGCAGCAACAGCAGCAGCAGCTTTTGTGGTTGATTGCAACATTTTAATGACTGTTTAAGTGCGCGCCCCGAAATGCAATTGCAGCGTTTCTTTTTGATTGCAGCCTGCTCGATGCAGTTCTTAAATTTCTGTGTGGTAATATCGATTTCATATTTACTCATTGCTTGAACCAAAACGAATGGCTTTCAAATGATTTTCTCAGAAATTACATCGAAATTTCATTACTAAATTATTGACACATATGTATATATATTTATTTATTTTTTTTTTTTTTTTCAATTGTAAAATTTGTTGAGCATTTAAAGAATTTTGTTTCTTTATTAATTATTATTATATATAAAAATTAAGTATTTTTCTGAACAAAATTTTAAGTTATTTATGCTGTTTGAACAAAAAAGTGTGAAATTTAACAATAAATAACTTATGATTTTATTTATTAATATTTTTAAAACTTAGTGTTGAGAAATATATA